AATGAGCTTCACCAAAGCCCCAGACACCTCTTTTATTAATATCATTGACATTTAAGTTGTTTCTAGATAATTTTGCATACGTACACAATCTTTACCGACTCTCACTCCCCCACCAAAGACTTCGATGACTGTGGCCTTGGGTAAACCCTCCCCGTTCCCTGGCTGGTCACCGGGTCACATGCCAGGAAGGAGGCTAAGGGGCAGCCTCCATTCTTTGCAAACAGAATGATGTGTGCAAGGCCAAAAGAAGGCAGATTGAAACTTGTGAAGACTTTACCAGGCTGATAGCCTACTAAAGCAAAATACCAACATGTTCTAAGATGTCAACAAGATTCAGGGCCTCATAATGTAATGTTCCTGTTGTTCAGGGTACACACCGTGTCCCCAGCATACAAAGTTGTGTGAAATGCTCAGTTCTCCTTGGGAAAGACAATCAATAGATGCTGCTGCTTAGATTCATAAATGCCAGAACTCTCAAGGCCTTTAAAGAACTTTAAAGTGATTACATGAGCAAATACACATGCATGCGTGTGTGTGAATGTGTGTATGTGTGTCTGTGTGTATGTCTGTGTGTCTATATGTGCACATGTGTATGAGTGTGGGGGGGAGTATGTATGCTTGTGTGCATGCGTGTGCATGCGTGTGTGTGTGTCTGTGTGCGTGTGTGTGCCAGCAGCTATTTAGGCAGCGTCCATACCTTTAACACACCACTGAGCCCACTGCAGAACCATCAGTGCATTCCCTCCCTTCCTTTGGTGTTGTCAACACTTTGAGCTTTAAATCGTCAACTGAAAAATACTATGTTGGGGGTATACATGTGGCGCAGTGTATGTGGAGACCAAATCATGAGAGTCAGATCTCTCTGGGCACCGTGAGGGCCCCAGATACAGACTTCATGGCACTGGGTTGGTTATAAGCAACCCTGCTCCCTGAGCCATCTCACTGGCCTCTGGGTTTTGACTGGAGCAAAAGAAAGGAGGCTGAATGTGGTGGGTGGAGTAGGGTGTCCTTTGGAAGACTCTGTCACTCTGGGCATGTCCCTCATGCATAACATCAACCATGTAAGTAGCCTGCCTTTCAGCGTCCTATACCTGCTTGGAAGAGCTCAATCATGTCTGTGGTTATATATTGTGTACCCTAATAAACTTGCTGCAATTTTCTAGTCCTTGAAAGTTATTACCAACTAATTAGGATCAGAGGACAGAGCCAGCCACTAGATTAGACATAGAGGCCAGGCACTGGTGGCACACACCTTTAATCTCAGCACTTGAGATCTCATGCCTTTGCTTGGGAAACACACACACTTTTAATCCCAGGAAATAATATGGCAGAGCAGAGAAAGGTATATAAAGTGTGAGAAAACAGGAACTCACTCTCTTTAGACTGAGGATTTCGTAGAGGTAAGAACTAGTTGCTGGCTCTGTCCTCTGATCCTCAGGAAAGTTTATTAGGATATACAATATATCACCACACATGTCCCTGCGTGTGTTTGACTTTGCTGATGAAATTGCTTTTAAAACTGATCTGTAACCTTAGTGGAAGGGATTCTGAGAACTTTTTCTTTGCTGACTAATCCACCATACAAATATTTGTTGAGTGCAGACACTATGGTAAGTGATGGAAATTAAATGAAACAGACAAAAATTCCTGCCTTTGTGGGACTGATGCCCTAGTAGACAAGACAAAACAAGTGATCGATTAATAGACAATGTAATTCCGAGAAGGAAGGAAGCAGAGAACATGGGAGGAGTCTTGTTTAGAGGATGATCAGCAGGTGAGGTAGGGCTGAAGGACCTGGAAGGTCCAGCCATGCTTTGGGGGGAAGATGAGCCAAAGATGAGCCCTGAGGAGGAGGCTAGAATTTAATGGGGGGGGGGGTAAGAGATGAGCGGAGCTGGAGGGGATACTGCTGGGAGGGGGCTTTGTCTAGGGGGATCAGGAAGTGATTGCGAATCTGGGGCAGATGCTGTAGCCCAGAGCAGAGGAAAGACACGGCAAATCTTTTTCACATTCGATAATAAAAATTCGCAGAACCTAGAGCCCAGGGGAAATTAGTGAGGCCCCAGTTCTCTCTTTGCTTGGCTTCTGCTGTATTTACCTCCAGGATGAGCAATAATTTAAAGGTACTGGGAAAAAATATTGAATGTACCTAGAAATGAGGTTGAGAGATTAAGAGTCTTTCCTTTGGCACATACTACGTCTGGTCTTACCAGTTTGATGAGATTTAGAACCACCTAGAAGAGACAGCTCTGGGTATGTCTGTGAGGATGTTTTTAGAGATATTTAACAGGGGAGAGAAGATTTACCCTAACTGTGGGCAGCAGCATCCTGCAGACCAGGCCCCTGAGAGATTTACCCTAACTGTGGGCAGCAGCATCCTGCAGACCAGGCCCGAGAGAAGATTTACCCTAACTATGGGCGGCATCATCCTACAGACCAGGCCCCTGAGAGAAGATTTACCCTAACTAGGGTGGCATCATCCAGCAGACCAGGCCCCTGAGAAAAGATTTACCCTAACTGTGGGCAGTATCATCCTGCAGACCAGGCCCCTGAACTGAATGGAAAGGGAAAGCCAGCTGCTTCCTGTCTGTAGATGCCATGGAACCAGCCACCTTCTGCTGCCACCGCCATGGCTACTCCACCCAAGGGACTGGGTCCTTGAACTGGGAGAAGAGCAGTCAACACACTGAGGCCTTCTGCGGTGCTCCACTCATGTGTTTGGCTCTGTCTTGGAGTTCATACTCTCTGTCAGCTCCTTAGACCCTGCTGATGCGTCTATAGAAACATGAGGGGAAATATCCTAAAATGCAACTAATTACTGTTCTGGGAAATATTATTGCAGGTATTGACTCTGTTGATCTTATTGACACAGGGGCCACGTGTGAGTCCCTTACCAGGTCATAGTTCTGACAAACTCCGTATGTCCGCTGTCCTTTGAGATGACTGAACTTCCTACAGGGTCCTTATTAATGGATGAATTAAATGGCATCACTGAAATGTTTTGGTCTTATATTTCTAGGAGTCATGTGTGGCTTTATCTTTGAAAACTTAAGGCTCACATGCCTGGTGATAGAAAAGCCACTAATTCAGATCAGTTCTTCATTCACTTGGTACTGTTAGCTTCACATTCAATTCTGAGTCCTTCATCCACCCTCACAACACACACATTTGCACAGAGGGTGTGATCTCATCTCACCCCACCCCATGCTTGGTGGTGTTCTAGAAACACAGACCTATGCATATTTTTTTTTAATGAATTATGGTACGTTAGTTACCATTCCCTTCTCTGTGACTGAAGCAGCTTCAGGGAGAAAGGATTTATTTTGGCTTGTGTTTAAAGGGATACAGTCTGTCATGGTGAGAAATGGATGGTGGTGGGAGCATCAGGAAGTAGAGTTGGACACTGGTGCTCAGCTAGCTCTCTCCTTTTATTTGGTTTGGGATTCCAGCCCATGGGATGGTGCTACCTGTGTTCAGGGTGGACCTTCCCTCTTCAGTTAATCTTCTCTGGAAATGACCTCACAGACATTCCCCAGAGGTGTGTCTCCTAGGTGATTCCAAATCCAATCAAGTTACCAATGAAGACAGACTATCACACATGGATACTATGAGGCAGCCTCAGAGAGCAAGTTGTTGGGACTAAATGAGGTGGGAACCCTAGGAGGTGACAGTGTCTTGGGTTAGCTACTTGGGATCTTGATTTTACACTAAATTCTAACATGCTTGGGTTAAAGGTTGCTCTGACCATATTTCCCCGAGGTCACCAGAAGGACTTTCTAGCTGTCCTTCTACTGCCACCAAAGAAACACTGAGTATCCCAGTGGGTGACGGTGGGCTGGGGTCGCCGGCTGAGACACGACAGAGATTGGACAATGTTGCTTTCAACATCTGTCCCTTTGAGCCACCCTGTCCTGGGGGCCTCGGCCAGGAGGTCTGGGAAGCTGCACTGTGGGTAGCAGTTCCTAGATCCTCTCTGGATGTCTCTGTGGACTAGATCCCTTCCCTGCTGCCCACGGAGAATGGACAGATTGGCTCCTGTCCTGGATGACGAGCCCTCCCAGCATGCCCTCTGACTGACTGCACCGTGACAGGGAAAACTCACTGCCGTTATGTAACTGTTTCCTCTGGATTAAACATTCCACCCACAAGGGATCAGGGAGGCTCATGAAACTCCCAAGAAACAAGACCCAAGAGGCCCCTCCCAAGGCTGTAAAAGTGGAGAACTATTTCTGGGAGAGAGGACATTCTTCTGTGGAGTTGCCTGAAGGCCGTGCAGGAAGCTCTAGGGATGCAGCTTTCATGAGTGCCCACCCCCACCCCCACCCCCACCCCCGCCCATGCTGGGGTGTGTTTTTGGTGACACAGCTGCCTAACTCACCCATGATTCCATAAGTGACCCCGATAAACCCACCAAGCCAGGTGTGGATGGAAGCAGTCCTTTGGTCTATTGGTGCCCAGGAATGGTCTGGGGCCAACATCACCTGGGAGTCTGCTTGGGACTTGAGCCCTAATTTTCTGGGTCAGAACATGAGTTTACCATGATCTCCTGGTGATTCTTAGACTCTATAGTTCCAGGGTTGCTGGGTAAGGGGTCCTGCTCACATAGGTGTATCGGCTTTCAAGTCTGGGACTAACCACTGGGGCACCAGGGAAGCCAATTCACCTTTCAGGGCTCACTTCCCTGTCTGTAGAGGACAGGCTGTGGGCGATCACGGACATGTGTAACTTGTTAAAGTTTGAGAGAACCCTAAAGAAATCTTGGGGTGGGAGAGCCTGGAAGAAGAGATTGGGGATTGGTGTAGCCAGGTCTAGGCCCCAGAGCTGAGCTCAAGGGCCTGTACACAAGCCACCTTACTATTCAGTGGGCAGGCCAGCTCCATGCCCTGCACTCATGTCCCAAGCTCTTTCTGGGACCATTTATCGCAAGGATTCACCTGTGGATACCGTGTACCAGTCTCCCCTCCTTGTCCATTCTGGAGATCCTCGCTGGACACAATGAATGAGGGGCAGAAGGAAATCTCTTTAATAGCATAGCAACATTAGGTCTGGGAGTCACCGGGGTGGGGGTGGGGGGACACACACGGACATTGCCTTCCAACCGGCTGCTGCGCTGAGGTGTGTGGCTGCGCTGCACCCTCTTAGCAGACAGATCTCATACTGGGAACTTAATAAATAGACACTCGAAACGTCAGACAGCAGAGGCAAGGGGTTGTGTGCGTGATTCTTTTCTCATTCCACCTCCTCCACGCAGGGCTGAGAAGCTGGTACACTAGGACGGGTATTCGTAGTCCTCGGCACTGCGCCGGCCAAAATCCATCCAGCCCGTGTAGTCCCTGTCACTTATCCTGTGGCTGGGGTCCAGGCTCTGCAGGCTCTTAAGAACGGACATGCGGCCAGAAGGAGCTGCGGGCAGGAGAGAGGAAGGAGACAAGGGTCGTAGATGTGAGAATATGACTAAAGCATGAAGTGGGGAAAGCCAAGATGTGCGTGTCTGCGTCCGTGTCTGTTCCTGTGTGTTCAGTGTCCATACATGTATATACATGTATCTGTATCCTCCTCATTCTCTTCTCCATCTCCTTGAGATGGAGCCTCTTGCTGCACCTGGAGCTCACTGACTCGGCTAGACTGGCTGGCCAGCAAGCCCCCGGGGGCCTCCTGTGTCTGCCGCCCCCGTGCGAGGGTTGTGGGCACACTCCAAAGCCAGCTCTTTCACGTGGGCTCTTGGGGGTTGGACTGAGCTGTGCTTCTGTGGTGTTTACTGACAGTGCCCTCTCACAGGCCTTCCGAAGGGCGTCAAACAGCTGCTGCTGGGCCAGAAACAACCAGAAGAGGAGGAACTGTCTGTGGAAGTGTTTAGATGGTTCTCGTCTCCCTGCCTTGGTCAGCCTGGGAGCCGTCTAGGCTTTCCTACCCAGAACAGCATTTCACAGTGCACATAACCCTCATTGGGACCCATGCAGAGATCTGCCCAGGACTCACCACTTCCAAATGTCATGACTAACATCCCAGCATGCTTAGCTCATCAGGGAGCTTCCAGGGACTATGACACCATGATAGTGTCATGTATAAGACTGTCTAGTATAAGATTTTTAGAAATGGAATCAAAGAACCAGGAAGACTAAAATCACTGGCTACATAAACCTGACAACCTAACTGCAGATTCCTGGAATCCACGCTGGAGACACTGATGTATGTCCGAGGCTGAGGTAGGCAGAGACAGGGAAATCCCCCAGAAGCTCATGGGCCAGGCAGCCTGGAGCATGAAGTACAGTCACAAACAATAGAGGACCCTAAAACTAGGTAGAAGGTGAAGCCCTACCAACGCCTGAGGTTGTCCTGTGGCTTCCACATGTGTACTGTTACACACACACACACACACACACACACACACACACACGCACACGCACACGCACACGCACACGCACACGCACACGTAAGTAAATAAATACATGGTTTCTTTTTAGAACAAGGACCGGTCAGGTAGCTCGGTGGGAAAAGATGCTAATTGCCGAGCTTGACAAGGTGAGTTTGAGCCCCTGGACCCACAGGGCGGAAGACGAGAGCCGACTCCTGTGGGTGGTCCTCTGAACTCCACAGGACCACACAGCATGCCCCCTCCTAAATAAATGTAAAACATAATGAAATCGAGTTCTCCTTCTACATGAATATTGTTTACAAATTATTAATTTGAAAGCTACAGTCTTTTAAAAATAACCAGAAAAATACACCTTGTCAGGTTAAAATACTGGTATCTTGGTAACCTTTAAAGAAACTGAATGGAAAGTCCCAAAAGATGGAACTTTAATCAGCCATTTTGATCAAAACACAATGATGTAACCTGCAATGGGGTCCAGCCTGTGGCAACTGTGTGATCTGCAAGGAGGGGGGTGGTGACATGATTCCTTCTGCAGGCACATGACACGGTCCCAGCCCACAGATGGTTGACAATGGCCTCCTGGACTTGTAACCAGGGTAGAGCCTTCTGTGCGGACTAAGGGTAAAGAGAGGCCCCCTCTCAAGGTTTTACATAAGTAAATAAATACATAGTTTCTTTTTAGAAGGAGGACCTGTCAGATAGCTAGGTGCCTGTGCCTGCGTGTGTGCGTACGTGTGTGTTTGTGTGTGTGTGTGTGTGTGTGTGTGTGTGTGTGTGTGTGTGAGAGAGAGAGAGAGAGAGAGAGAGAGAGAGAGAGAGAGAGAGAGAGAGAGAGGGAGGGAGAGATCTGGGACCACAGTGGGAGTCGTTTGGGTAGTTTGCAGGTGGCTTCCCTGCCAGAGCCTGCCCCCAGGCTAGCAGAGCCAAAGAAAGAATACTGGCACATGCTCGTAAGCAACCCTAATGAGACCCATTAGGGCTCGGAAGTCATTGAAAAAAGGCCGGGAAGTAGAAGAGGGGTTGGTTGGGAAGAGGACTTGGAGGGGGAGGGGGACAAGCCAGGGCCGTGGGTGAGTGTGATCTGAATGTGCTGTAGATGCATTAAACACCACAATGAAACTCACCATTATAGCATAATTAATACACACTAATAAAACATTTTTAAATGACACCACAGAGGCAGTTACCCTGACTTACTGCATAAAGAACTTAACCAGCTACACTTAAAACACGTTTCCTTTCTCTGACCCGTGTCTTCCCAGTTTGGGGACTGAGTCCACTTGCTGGGTTCTCTGGGTAGACAGCCCCAGCCTGTGCAGAACAAGCCCTGCTGCTTGACTGCTCAGTACCTCTCAGGTAAAAACATACATATATAGTCAGAAATATACGCAGTCCAGTTCCCTGTACAATCACAGGAAAACACAGCCCATCCTCCGGCTGCTCAGGGATTAGTGTCCACTGTGAGGGCTGGGCACAACCCACGCTTCTATCAGCCAGCTGTCTGGTCAGTGGCTGGGCAACCAGCCAGTCATGGGAGCTGCGTTTGGAACATGCCTCGGCTCTCACATCCCACACAGATCTGTCTTCAGGCATGGTGTTATCACTCTCCATCCACCGTCCCCAGCACTACACAGTAAAGAACTCTTATACCCAGAGCAGACAGGTGAGCTAGGAAGCCGAATGGCCTCCAGGCCTCAGGGGAAGTCAAGCCTGTATAGATTCACTCTGCTGCCTCCTAGATGTGCCAACATGTGCACAGATGTTACCTGCTTTCTTTAGCATGGACTAACATAAATGAAAAATGAGTGAGATGCTTACTGTGCAGAACGGTTTTAAGGCCTGAGGGAGATGCACGGAGATAGCATCCAATGCCT